TTTCTTAAAGCTTAGGGCTTAAATCATCTATTGTAGACTGGGACTAAGGCTTAGGGCTTAAATCTCTATTGTAGACTGGGACTAAGTCCCAGTCTACAATAGATGATTTAAGCCCTAAGCTTTAAGAAATTGGCCAATCACGGTCAAGTATGAGTAGAATACGCGACTGTGATTAGTCAATTTCTTAAGGCTTAGGGCTTAAATCTCTATTGTAGACTGGGACTAAACAGCTTCGACCAATCATGAAAACACATTTAGTCCAGATTCGCACCTATGGTGGTCTCGATTTCACCCGGGAATCGGGATCCGGGCCAATCTACGAGCCAGTTTTCTTTTTAATGAGTTTACGAACGCGCAAGAAAATTTGTAATTTGATGGTGTCGTCGTATGGATATGGAGATTAATCGAGAGATTGACGAGTCTGGTGAAGCTCGTCACCAATCATCAGTCACCATCGTCACCGCAGCTGATTGCGACGTCACACATGTGCGTTTAGTCCATGTTTGTCTCACACAGTAGCCTACTAGCCTCGGAAATCGGGATTGGTGCGAAATTGGCGGTTGCAATCGGCTGATCGTGCACGAAAACGTCAAGGAAAATGCACCTTCAATTTTAACGGATGACGATGAATTGACTCGTGCGTGCGAGCGACGATGCTTCCAAATGAGGTTAATAGCGGTCAAGAGTCCAAGTTATCAAGTTATCAAGTTATCAAGTTATCAAGTTATCAGGTTATCAGGTATCGAACAACTAATTCTAATCGAATAACTGCTCTCCGAAGGTCCTGTCGTAGACGAGACAGTCTGACGTGAGAGAGACGTGTCACGAGCGCAACTCCGACCAACTCCCAGGAGCTAGAATGTACTGCCTACAGTGGCTGATTCCGGTGCTGCTGATCCCGAAACCCGTTAATCCGGCGCTACTGCAAACCCACGTCATGTTCATGGCGCTTTATCTCATCGGGTTCTTCCTCGAACGCAAGCCTTGCACCATCTGCAGCCTCGTCTTCCTCGCCGCAGTCTTCCTCATCTGCTACAGCGGAATAGGCAATTGTCTGCTCTGGAGCACAAATTGCGACACAGTAAGATGCGACAATGGCTAAGGTTGTGCCGATTGTGTTTAACTCGATATCATTTAGAGAATTATTCCCTCTCATTTCTATTGCGTATGCGTGCATACGAGAGGGAGAGAGCTTACCCCTTTCTCTCTCTCTCTCTCGTCTGCTACAGCATAATATATGCAGCTTTTCAATTCACTAGCACGACATCTGTTTTGTCCAAGGTGTGAATATAGATGATAGGTTTAGCTTCCCAGGTTATCCAAACTGAAAGTTTCAGTCAATCTACAAATCTACAATGTAATGTTCTATCGGAGACATTTGTATATAGAGTTGAAATCACAGAATTCCGAATAAGCAAAAATGTGATATCTAATGTATTTGATGATATTCATATGTAGATTTTAGGGTTTTGTCGCGATCGTTGACTAAGTAAATTTCCAGATTGTAGCGTGATACAGCTTGTATTTTTACGCTGCCAAAGTGGCATATTCCTTTTATACTTGCAGCTTCTAAATTTAGCAGTTTTTATTCCAGTGTGTCTCTTCTCGATGCTAAACCATCACTTTTCCTAGATTCTTCCTTATGCAATTCGAGGATTGATAATTACATGGATAATTTTTAACAAGATGTATTCGCACAATGCGCTTGTATGTACCAAAGTGATGTACGATGTATGAAAACCAAAGCGTTAAAAAATTGAAGTTACTACATTAGTGAAATATGAAAATTGGAAACCACTACTAACAATGGAATGGATTTATATTCGAATTCACGAAAAGAGATTTAAGTGATAAACTCCAGTTTTTACTTGCTAGCCCGAAAGCATTAATATAATAATTAGCCGACTTGGCGTAAGTAGTGTTACCAGTGTAAATATCGATAGTCATGTATATGTATGTGTGGCTAAGAATTACCCATTCATATACATATATTGTAATAGCTCATGGATATAGATAAAAATTGAATGAAGCGTCACGTCGGTGAATCTTTTATATCTTTGAAGCGTATATTGTAATTGGCAACATTTTTATTCCGATTCGAGAACATTGAATTAGTCTGTCACTTAAAGTCTTGGTGTACAAGCACAAATAATCTGTGATTAGACACGATGGATTTATCCGTTTGTTGAAATATGCTGTAACTTTGCTACAATGCTATTCTCTGTAATCATTGCTTCCATGTAAAATATGAAATAATGAAGAAACTTTGTGTAAATAAAGGAGCTCTGTAGGTAGGTTCATAGTACACATCGCAGTGTCAGTAATAAAGAAAGCCCCTATCAACCGTACCAACTTGTCTCTTTTTCTTCTCCCTCCTTCCCTTCCCTTCCCTTTCATTAAGATAAAAGTGGGTGTCGAAATAAAAGCGTCGGGTCAGTTTTCCTTTTTTAGAACATGTATCTTACGATTTATTGACTTAAGAGAAAGTTACTGAAGGGCTTTTCCACGACCAAAGCCACCGCGAAACTCGAGGTCGCCGGTACCAGCGCCAACGTCAGCCTTTTTGTCACCAGCACCTGGAGGACCGCCCGGTCCTCGTCTGTATCCCGCACGATCTTCCGTTGGTCTCGAGCCTTCGCTTCTAGTTGCGGCAGGTCTCGGTCTCGTAGTTTCGGATCTCGGCTGTTTCTTAAGAGTGGAGGGCACGATTTCAGGCGGCAGATGCAAGTATCCACGCAGGTACTCGATACCATCGTTTGTAAGGTACCAATAGAAATGTCTCCATGCAAATTGCTCCTTTACATATCCTCTAGACTTTAGAGACTGAAAAGATGGACGGTGTAACAAGTTGGCAATTTCAGACAATGTTAAGCGGCAAAAATTCCTACCTGCATAGCCTTGATCACTTGAAGATTCGGAATATTTTCCAGTTCTGGATGTTTCGCTGCATGATAATCCTTCTTCGCTACCATGACTCCCTCCTTGAAGAGGTACTCGTAGATGGCCACGCGATTCTTTTTTGGCATCAACATTCTGTGGATAACAATAATGTATATATCTTTGAGGTTATGTACCGCAAAACAAGAAAATGCAGATATCACAAGTCATTTCACAGTCTTGTTCTCGTAGCTAATATATAATATATAATTCTGAATCGTAGAAAACGGTTGAATTGGAGAGCTTTGAGGTGGAAAATAGAAAAGAAATTACACTCCAGTAAACTCGCAAATATCTCGTACAATAATAGGTAAAAGTGGGATCTAATGAGATATACTTGATTTGGAGAGATTATAGATTTCGCTCGACTGTCCGCTTTCTGGTAATTCTCACGAACAAGCAGGATTAAAACGGATATTACGCTCAACTCGACGTACTTGATGACTCCAGCGTGCGTCTCTGCTCGGAAAGGGCGGCCATTCAGGCCAATTAAGGCAATATCGATATCTCGAATTCTTCCAGTCGACTCTAGTCTCGTTTGTCTCACGACAGCGGAAATAACCTATTTTAAGGCCTGTCCACATGGATGTTTGCAAACGTTGAGTTTGAAGAAAATTCATTTACAATTTACATGCAATTCTTGCAAAAGCGCTGTTCCTTGGAATTGCCAAGGACACGAACTTGGCGTTGCGCTTGGGTATAATAGTTTAATCAGCGAATCAAGGGGGAATTTAAGGAATCAAGTAAAAATCATTTGTACGTAGTTGGTAATTATTGTAATTCACTCAAGTCTTTGTACAACTTCAACTCTCATTGGATTCTTTCGTTGCATTATCGTTGAATTTTACAATACTTTGCTTTTTCTTACGTTTTGCTCTCGTATCTGCTTTCATACATACTCTATGCCCTTTAAAAATTGGCCATTTATGCTTCTCCCTTAGATATTCCGCTGCTATTTCAGTATTTTCCATCTTGGCTATCGCGCTTCTACATAGGAAATGTACAAATACGTCACAATCTTGACACATGTAAAATGTTGGAAATGAATTGTACCTACCTAAAGTCTTTATTGTAAGGTTTTAATAAAGTAACACGAGCACACCCAGGAAGGACACTTTTCACTTGGTGCGACTTGGTGCCATTCGCTATATTTGAGACAAATACCCTACGGAACAAAGCGTATGTTAACAACCTAGCGAGATGAAGCTGCAATAGAAATGTTCTTACGTCTCTGTCACTTGGACATCCAGTTTGATCTCGGGCATATAAATCTTTTTCTTCGTCTTGCTTTCTCTTCTGAATACAACATCGGATAGCGGTCGAATAACAATTCGCTTGTCATTGTCCCTTTGATTTCTTGCAAGTTGATAATTTTTCATCTTCTCTTCCACAGTAGGGAAGATGACATGACACGATCTACTCGACTGTCGCGGCAATTTTACGTGGAAATCACCTAGAAATAAGCATTCGACGTCTCTTTTATCCTTTATTACGTGGGGAAGACGTACACTTAACGTTCGCTCTCTTCGTTTATTCAATTTAGACAGCTTGCGAAACCTGTGCATAACCTAAAAGTAACGATAGTTCAGAAAACTAGGTAGGACAAATTACTGCCAAGAGAGAAAATAAACGTACGTATGTTAGTGGCGTGTGACGTGTAATTTGGAATAAGATATTACGCTTACGGTTCTTATCGCTATAGAACTGTAGAGGATTAAACGAAGCAAACTCTCCTTTTCTCAAAAGCGCGACTGCACATGTATCGACTGGTGGCTGCGAGCTCATTGGATTATCGCGCTCAGTGGAAACGCACCCTTAGTATAGCGTGGGATTGGACCGCCTTGGGATTCTTGGGAACAGTGGGCACGGTTTTCTTGAGTTTTCCAGCACGGTTGCTCCAGTCGTCCGACGGTCCGACGGTCCGAGTCGTTCGCCACATTTGGTTCTTTTACTTACTTTAGACATCTCTTCTCCCTTTCATTTCGCTAATATAATAAGCACATTACGGTACAAAATGGTAAGTCTTTGACTCGTATCGCGTTGATTTGGAAATAATAAAACATAAGTGAGATTACTCGAATTGCTTTCACCTTTATTTGACCTCTACACTTGTCAGTCTCGCTAAATATTACGTATTAAATATTTCTCCAATTCGAGAATAGAATTAATCAGGTTTTTACCTATTATCATATTATATCATGCAAGTTGTACTAATTTTTTGTTAATTTGACATTAGACGGAAGCTATAAATGTCGTGATTACTGGTGCTGCCGGGCAAATTGCCTATTCTCTGCTGTACCAGATTGCAGCTGGTACAGTTTTTGGCCCACAACAACCCATCAATCTCCGATTACTGGATATTCCACCCATGATGAAAGTATTGGATGGCGTGGTGATGGAACTGCAAGATTTAGCGCTTCCTCTCTTGCGTGGTGAGCTGACAAAAATACTTTCTACACTTGCGACTTTTACATTGCATATAGCTCAATTTAAATTTTCTAGAGGTTTTGCCAACGGCCGAGCCAGCCAAGGCCTTTGAAGACGTAGCGGCTGCTTTTCTGGTTGGCGCGATGCCAAGAAAGGAAGGAATGGAACGTAAAGATCTTTTGGCCGCAAATGTAGATATTTTCAAGGTGCAAGGCGAAGCACTGGATAAACATGCCCGTAAGGATGTCAAGGTGCTAGTCGTAGGAAATCCTGCCAACACTAACGCGCTTATCTGTTCGCATTACGCACCGTCTATCCCGAAGGAGAATTTTACCGCAATGACCAGACTGGATCAGAATAGAGCACAGGCAGCGTTAGCCGTACGAATGAACGTGCAGGTTGATCGAGTGAAGAATGTCATCATCTGGGGTAATCACAGCTCTACGCAATATCCGGACGCAGCGCATGCGACTGTAGCGCTTCTGTCCGGTGTAAAAGCAGTTCCGTCCGAGATCAACGATAACGAGTGGTTGAACAACACCTTCGTCGAAACCATTCAAAAGCGCGGCGCTGCCGTAATAGCTGCGAGAAAGATGTCCTCTGCCATGTCCGCTGCTAAAGCCGCTGGAGATCATATGAGAGACTGGTGGTTCGGTACTAAGCCCGGAGAGTGGGTTAGCATGGGCGTTGTGTCCGACGGGAGTTATGGCATCCCAAAAGATATTGTCTTTTCCTTTCCTGTCACTATCAAGGACAAGCGGTATGAGATTGTGCAAGTAAGTTGTTTCGCAAGGATACACGTGCGCTGTCTAATTAAAGGCTTATTGTTTCGTCTCGCTAAAGCGATCTCAAACATCCTTTTATGGAGAAACATCTTTCTTTCAGAATCTCCCGATTAGCAACATTGCAAAGTCAAAGCTGGATATTACATGTAAGGAATTGGAGGAAGAACGTGCCGAGGCAAAGAATGTACTGAAAAAGTGACTAGTAACGTCAGTGCCAAGCAATGAGATGCAATTGAGTTTTGTCTCGGCAAAATTGTAAAATATTAAGTGACGGATGCTCACGTGCCGTTACACATCTACTTGATACATATGTATACATGGGCGTTCCAAAAGTTGGAAAATTCTATTCTATATAGAGTTTCCTTGTACATTTTATATCTCAAACGAAGGGTGGTATGCAGCTTTTTTTATTCAAATTTTGGAACGCCGTATAATATGTAATGTAAAATGTCATATATGCAATTATGTATATAAAATGGTATACATAATACTATATATGTATTATAGACTTTGTAAAGCTTGTAACAAAGGTGTCGATTGGGAAATATATTATACTTTACAGGACTTTTTTTGCTTTTATTCATCTCCTTCATGAGAATAATTTATGTTACAGTAATGATAATTTTTCATGTCAATATCATATTACTCCATTTGTTTTCTCACATTTATATTATCTTTATATCTTATTTTCTAAAAACTATCGTTACAACTATATATCTCGACTTTTTTCCTATTATAATCGCGCGCGCGTGAGCATTAAGTAGCGTATTATACAAGGATGCAGTACAGTTTAGTTTATCCGATAACGCTCCTGGTAACGCTCGCAACGTAATGTCGCAACTTTTTCTTCATTTCATACTTGAACGAGATATTCTTGCATCTCCAGTATTTCCAAGTTAGACAATACACAAATATGACAGTTAACAAGCGGATATCTGAAAGCTAAGTAAACATTTTTCTGGTCTAAATACGAAACGTATGTCATTTTCGATACTATTAATGAAAATCAATTATCATTCTGCAGATACATGTCAATTTCAACTTATATAACTCTTTGTGCATAAACATTTCTAGCACGTTAATCCGTTTACGTAACGCGTGCATGTAAGTATTCCCTCGTAATAAAGAAAAGATTAATTCTTTTAAGATTTCCTTCTTGCACAAACTATTTTCAAAGTACGATAGCATCTCTAGTGAAGACCTGGCTATATTTAATATGGCTATCTAAGTGAAAAACTTTCAAGTTTTCCTTCCACGAAAATAGCAAATATATTTCAGATTGATGGAAGAAAAAAGAAACAAACAATTCAAATTCGGCCAACTTTATAATAGTTTATGCAATTAATAAACGTCAAAACACGTCACTTCCAGATGTTTTCTAAATCTTGCAATAATTACATAACATACGTATACATACATACCCACATACACGCATACACACGCACACACATGCACCGCACACGCATTCATGCGTGTTGTGTGCATGTGTTTGAACAAATTCTTCATGACTTGCCACGTACGAGAAAATAATACATCTGTCACAAGTTGTTAAATCTGATTAATTATAGCTTATTAATCATTACATTCAACGACTAATGGTATCTATGGTAAAATAAAATAAGAGAATAATTACACTAATTCACGCCAAAAAATTACATTAAATATAAATATGTATAATATATATCATATATATGTACTTTTCGTCCTATCTATATTTAATATATTGGGTTGATTCATAAATTTCTTCCAACGCAGATATCGTTTTATCTTTTCTCATCGTCCCAAGTTACCAATTGTATTTAATATAAGAAATTTTACCATTTATTTAACAGTAAAAGGTCACATACAGCATTACTTGTAAAATCCAACGTCAACTCTCTTGTAAATGGAAGATTTCCAAGTACGTATGCACCATATAATAGTGCTGCTATAACGGCTCAACAAATTTCTAGTACGTATAGCGATAGTGATTTGTCAAGTTTCCTTCGGGAAATATCACTTTGAAGAGTAAATCGTGGTGAATTTCCTCACAATGACGGCGTTGCCTCGCTCGGAAAAATTTTACAAAAGAAAATGCAACTCATTTATGAATCAATACAATATATGTATATACGAAATATTACAAAGATGAATATACAGAAAACCAACGTGATTTTAAGAGAGCTTGAAGCAGTGGACGACAAATGTACCATGATTTACCGATCGCAGATTTACTGAAATGGGAAGATTATACGATATTTTGGAAAAATTTGAAAAAAGATGGGGCAACTTTTTTTATATAAATTTAAAAATAAAATTGCGGAAACATCATAGACACATATTTTTCAAAGTCTCAAATTAATAAGTTACCCGACTATTTATACTAATTCGTACGAGAAAAATAAAATTATCAAATTACAACAAAGGCCGTTCTTATACTCGTTCTTATATACACAGCATACATATACATACATGTACGTGTGTGTTTTGTGCGTGTGTATGTGTATGTGTGTCAAGTGTTTTTTTTTTTGTTTTCACATAATCTCTACAACTAATTTGATTGAATTTTGGGACAAAAGCATAAATTTAATTCAAATGAAACCCTCTTTCTCGGGTAGCAGCCAATAGCCTTTCTCTTAGGAGTTCCTCGGTAGGATATTCCGGTAATTTTAAATAATGAACACAGGTGTTAACAGAAGGATAACCACCAGAACCAGCGTCCACTTTCCGCACGACAGTTAATCTGGGGTGTAGATTACACAAACCTCCTGGAGGTAGAGCCGAACAACCGGTGGCAAATTGTAAGAACGCTTTTCTCTCGGAGCCAGTCAATGATAACAACACGTTGACAAATCTTTGGAAACCAGGACTGAAAAGAAATGGCATTGAATGAAATAACGCTACTTATCACGCGAGTCTGTTAAATCAGTAAGTTACTTGTTGGGATTACCTGTCCTTTGTGTATCCTAGTTTTGGCTCGGTGTAATTGAGCAAATCTTCTCTCGTCCATTGTGGATTCTGTTCGCCACAAAGCATCGCTCTCATCTCGTCTGGACTAAAGACATGGAGCTTTTCCATCGGAAAGACTTTTGAGAAGCCCGACTTGAAGGCTTCGAGTTGTCTATAAATTCCCTGGTTAAGGCAGTAATTGATCGTAAGGTTCGCGTATTCCCTCGCATTCTCTATCGTTACTGCAACGTCCGAGCCACCTTCTGCCAATTCCACTTGATCGTGTTGAAAAACTTTCGAACTTGGTGAATACGTCATGGTTAATGCTAAATCTTCGATAGCTACCGAAGTACCCGATGGATGAGTAATGTATAACGACGTTTCTTCGTCAGTGGAGCTTGGTCCATCGGAAAAGGTTCTGTCGCGCTTCGCGATCGCGTTTTGTATCTCTCGGAGAAATTCTCCCCTTACAGGATCTACTTCAACGAGGTCCTCTATGTCCAATAAACCGGCGTACCATGGACAAGGTTCCAACGACGAGTATGCTGCATCGTTTTCTCCTTCTTCCGATATAAAGCTACTAGACATACTGGATGACATGCTCTCCTGCGTAACGCCGGTAAGACCGATCTTTTCGTTAACATTGTTCGAGATATCACCACGGCACATTAATTTTAAGAATGGACGGGATAACGGTAAATCTACTAATCTATTATCCTGGAGAACTTTTGCCAAGAAGACTCCTAGGAACCAGAAGTATCGAACAGCGCGATCGCAACCTGCCGAATCTTGTGGCAATGGGGCTGGGAACAAGCCACTGGCACGCGTCACGTAATATCCCGCAGGCCGAATCTTCTCTCCGGGCACGCACGTTTGCTCCTCGTTTGAGATTCGCGTGGCGTTGTCGTCGGCGGTGTCGTCGCATAACCAGAGCCCAAGGTCCTTGCGTTGCAATTCCGCGGCGACTAGTGCAAAGAATTCCAAGGTAGGCCCGAGACCGGTGCCCTCTTCTCCCACGAACGCTACCTCGAGTATGCTCTTGCGGCTCGCGTGCACCTATGAGAGAGGGAGAGAATGAATACACACGAGTACCATCGTGTATCACATTGTCTCTTTTTCCCTTACCTTCAACACTTGCTCCGCCCAATCCAACAGCTTCTCTCCCCTTGGTACGCTGACTCTTTCGTGCTTGAGCCGGCCGACACGAAATTCGTGGCTGTCATCGCGCCGTGGGCTTAGACCCGGTGCCCTTTGCCGCTCGAGGATCGCGTCTCGTTGCGTTTGTAACCATACGATTGATCGCGAAGCACCAAAAGCGGTGCAACTGAAGTAGAGTCGTCTCGTTTCGAAAGGTAGTAGAAACGGGCAGCTTCGCGCGAGCTCCTCGCACCAATTGGGCAGCGCACTGGCGGCCAGAGCCAACGGGTCCTGAATCTGCTGTACGATCTTGTTGGTGATCTTTTTCGATGTAAAATCATCCGGGTGAAGCCAATAGGTCGTGTCGTTCGACTCGTCCTGCTCCGTCGAGGCGTCCTCGTCCCGGATAGTGCCCAGAACAAATACGTGCCTCAACAGTTGTAGAACATCCTCGACGGTGCATGCGTTTGCGTTTTGCGTCGGATTACGTGAGTACAGCGTGACGATCGGGGTCGCTCTGCCAGACGATTCCTCGTCCCTCGCTTCTTTATATATTATTGTGTAGGTTGGTTCCCATATCCTTTTCAACTTCTCCTGACGGCTGCCCAATTCGGTTAACTGCATCAGTTCCTGGACCGCTTGGAAAATACTAGCGTGCGCGTCCGAAAGCGATATCTCGACATCCGGTATGCCTGGGAAACCTGGTCCTTTCAACGACAAGGAAAGTCTAGGCATAGGCAACGACCCGATGCGACTGTTGACTTGCGCTTCGCTACCAGGAGGGGGAACTTCCAAATCCGTCGTCTATTGTGAAAATATCTCGGAATGGTGTAACTTTTACATATTTATATCTAGTTTGCACAATGCACATTACTCACCTGATTGATGTTGGTTCGGCCAGGACGTGGATCGAAAGCAGGAATAAGAGCGGAAAATTGACGCTTCAATACAAACTCGTCGTCCCATGCGCGCCTCTTGCTACTCTGCGGTGCTTCTTCTTCCATGAATGCCGCGAGGAGATTACGACTTACCATTACTTCTTCGTACTCGCCTTCGCAGCCGTCACCTTCTTCCTCATTTTCTTCATCTTCCTCCTGAGATAGTACAGCACAATTTAACGTTAACAAGCACAATTCTGCACACACACACACACACACAGTGACGTTGTCCAATTTCGATCAATCAGATTAATTTCCTTTTTTCATTATTAACGTATCTTTCACGATAACGAAAGTGATGATCAACGAATGTTGATCACTCTGACCGAATTGAAACTTATACAGACTCATCTTACAATTATAATTGTACCCCCGATACAACTCTCTCTGAAATGAAACCGCGCAATTACTTCTTGATCATTTTCTTCATTATCCTCTTCCTCTTCCAGGACACCGTCCTCGTCATCTTCCAACTCGGTCAAAAGCGTAGGGCCACCGGTAGTACGACCTCCTCCAGTGCTAGAAGTCGCTACACCTCCGCAGGATTCCAAGAAATCTTCAAGACTGACCTGGCATCACGGACATTAAGGCGACGTTAAATCTCGCACTTTGAGGGAGTACCGATATTGGTTGCTCAGAAAGGAAACTAGAGCATTTTACAGGTTAAATGGTAGTTTTACCTGCTCGCTATCGCTACTTGTACTAGTCAGAGACATGGTAAGCGCTTGTCCTAAACCTGGTCCAGTTGTCGTAGTGACGCCACTACCGGCTACTTGTCCGCTACTCGTCAAACTTGGATAGCTTTGCGCCGTACTAAGTAAACCACCAGGAAAATTGGGACTGAGTGCCAATCGTACGAGACTAGATACAGAATTCGGTCCTCGAATTGGATTACAACTCGTATTAGAATTTGAGGCGAGATGCTGCCCACCCGCAGGTCCTGGAAATGTCTTACAGTTATTCGCTACGAAAGATAGCATTTTTAAGCAGATATAAAGCTTGAAACAACAACAAGAATGATAATAACCGGGTAAGGATTTAATTTAGGAACTAACCTAATGTTCGTCTTCGCGCCATTGCGGCAAAAGTTTCCAATAAACCAGTAGCAGCTGTTGATTCCAAGGTATTGTTAGCATCGGAACAAGCGAGATTAGGCACAGATACCGACATGGGATTGGTAACCACAACAGGACAACCGCCCGTTGCATTTTGCGTAGACGAGCTAGCTTCTTTCTCTCGAGTACAGTCTTTAGCAACTAATTCGAAGGAAATGTACGGAACTTTTACATATCAGCACGAGCACGAGGAAAGAGAAAATCAATGTTTGGTCACGGATTAAAGTGCGGTCGTGTATCTATACCGCATACAAACATGAACGAGTGTTTAGTTATCTCTCGATCTGATTTAAATCTGATTAAGCATCGCAGTGCTCAAATTAGTAGTAGTAGTATATTGTAAGGTCGCGGAAACGAGTTATTATCGATACACATACCATCCGCGATCCCAGTAGGATGATGTCTCGGTACAGATTTAATCCTCAACGAGTTTTCCTCCGACTCGCCGGAGACGCTGATTCTAACGGGAACTAAACCAAGTAGCTCACCACTCAGAAAACTGTTGGTATTGTTACGTAATCTGTCAGCACCTTCTCTCATACGGTCGAGAACTTCCGCGGTTTCCAAACTCAGCAAGCCTCCGCTAGCCTGCATCGCATTGTATCGATTTGTCAGTATGTCGTATCTAACGAAGCTAGGTGGGGTGATTATTAAACAACTTCAATTCACCTTGTTTCCTCGTACCGTGGCGAAAAGTGGTTTCGAACTGGACGCCCGGTTACTAGTGCTGTTAACCGGGCAGTCCGTATTGAGGGTGAGGCTCTCGACGATAGTGGCTAGATCGCTAGTAACGGTCGTGTCCGGTCTAGGATGCAATACGACGGAAAGCTCGCTCGTCGAGTTCGCTCCGCTCTCCCCGGTCACGGCAACCACTGCTTCCGCACGGGCCACCGATAGCACACTCTCGGCTATCGATTCGGCAGCCTGCTGCATGTCGCAATTGGAATTGAGTAATCGAGAGTCAAAGCAAGGAGCAAACGCGATAAGTAATACCTTTGCCGCTAGATTATCCGCGCTCGCGGCTTGATCCGTAGAAGCTACCGAGCCACGCATAGCGGTATCGGTGCAATCGGGTAGACTAGGAGTACTGTTTGACTTTCGACCCGTCAAAACGCCCCCGCCGCTCTTACATTTTGCGGCGCTGTCCGTGTCGAGACCAGCGCCAACCAATCTGAGGTCGTACTTTCCCTCGGCACCCATCCGGTACGAATTCGATCCACCGTGATCCCACGTTACGTCTATCCATCCGTTGTGCAATTCTCCCGTGACTGTACCTTCGCCTGTATATCGAGAAGATGCTTTGGACGTTGCTTATTAATCGTATATCTATACGCTCTCGTGTAGTACACTATACCTGGTGGTACGCCATCCTGATCCCTCCATTTCCAATCTAGACCTCTAGCGACTCGAACCCCCGCAGCTAAATGTTTGAGAACTTGCGTCTTGATAAACCTCCGTTGCTTCCGCACGCCGGCCTCGGCCTCCTTCGCTGCGCGACCTAAATCTTCGCATACTCCAGTGACCTCTCCGTAAACCTCGAAGCCAGACACGGACAGGTAATGCGTTTGTCCGGACGCATTCTTCCCAATTTGCTGTAGACGTAGATGCCGCCAGCCCTGCGTCTCCTCGCCCGGTGGCTCCAACGTCCAGGTAGACGTGCTACCTGGCTCGTTTAGAGAGCAATCGTCTACATGAGCGTACAACGTAATCCAGGTGATGCCATCCTTGGACGCTTGAAACATCCAGTTTCTCAAGGCGCTTCTACCGTATCCTCTCGCGTGTCTCAAGGTGTATGCGCTCGGGATAATCCAGACGCCAAGGTCTATCGAGAACCACGCCCGTTTGTCGTCGTTGGTGTGACAATTCAATGCCGACGGGTCACGGCTGAGTATATCCTCGAGGTGGCCGTACGGCAGGTTTCGTCCGTCGCTCGACGTCACGACGACTAGACCGTACTGGCCCGGATTCACCCATTCGGAACAAGTTTTAGCATTCGTTCCGATCCAATATAGCAAGCCGTTCTCGTCGAAATCGTGCTGATACTTGAACGTTATTCTACCTTCTTCCTTTAATCTCTTGACAAACGCGAACGTCGATCTGTCGTGGTCGTGCCATTGCTTGGCTACCATTTTCAACAGATGGTTCTCCAATTGCTGTATCGTGCTCAACGGTTCCATCTTTAAGCTACGACCGGATCGGTCTATTAACGCGCTCTCGCTAGAAGCCTTCTCCAGTCGGAAGCGTAATCTCCTTGTCAAGATCTGCGTGAGAAATCATATCTACATCAGAAATCTACATCGTGAGTGTACGTCGATCATGATCGTTATCGTTGACATACCTGTAAGCCGTAGCCCGATCCGGGTGTGTCGTACAGATATACCGGTAACTTTTCTATCGATTCCAGCACCGAGACCAACTTGTGGACTAAAATTTTCGCCGAGTTAGGCTCCTTATTCGTGTCCTTGGTTTGGAAGCAGCTCTTGAACGCGGTTATCCTTTGCATTCTGAGCTTGGTCGCTCTCAGGGTCGGGGGCGAGGGTCCAGGAGGCGCAGCCAGCAAGGCGAGCAACGCCTGCACAAGACCACTCGAGTGTAGCTCGTACGCGGACACTCGACCCTCCTCATTCAACAATACTTTCAGCTGTTCTAACGCAGTTTGCAATATATTGCGCCATTCGCGACTTCCAGATTGTTGCTTCTGAGACGCTCTCTCTATCTGATTGACAATGGCACCGAGCTTAGCGACTACACCGCGTGGTTGTGCTTGTGCCGCTTTGAAGTAACGCTCGTATATCTCCTGCGCCTGTACCTTTACCTTTTGTTTAATCGCTTCGATCTTTGACCTTAATCTCTTGCCCCTTTTGCCAGTCCAACCCGCTGCGAATTCTGGACCTGTGTGTGTGTGTGTGTGTGTAAATTCAGCAAGAAATTACGAGAAATAAATAATAGCTACGTTAACAATGATCTTACCTAAGCTCGTTTCCGCTGTAAAGGAATGCTTAGTACCTCTGTTTGACTCAAAGATAAAACCTGGCAAGTCTTCCCTTAGAATGGTCGCCTGTTGTTGGCCATCGCTATTATGTATACACAATTCGCTCTCTTTTCTGCTGGATAATGCCCAATTTCCTACGACCAGACGTGTGGTGCCAGGCCGAGAGAGCACAGGCTGACTTACAAAATTCACTTTCAACTGACTACGCGCTCTCTGTAGTTTCTCTAGAAATTCCCCACGATTTTCTGCAAGATAAGAGTACATCGTGTTAGGAGCTGACTCGTCCCGCTCAAACAACATCAAATCAAGTATGACGGAAGAGGAAAGATGAAAGAAAGAGAGAAAAGTTGTGACAAATATATCTTAATATCGCGCGTCTGTAATAACTAAACGATACGAGTTAAACACGTATGTGACCTACCTTCAGTGGTAAGCGACTCTGTGTTCCTCCCCTTTCCTGTAGGCAGTTAGTAAAACCAGTTATTCTTTACATAGTTCCCCTCGCGAAAGTTAATCACAAATGGAAAATAAAGTGTAAAGTGACGTTGAAGAAAAGAGAGAGAGATATATATATATATAAAGATATCGTTAATGATGAAAAGGGATAAAAAGCGGCAATCTCTCCCCCCTCTCTGATAGAGAAAACAACATCAGCAGGATGGAAAAAGTGAAAAATGTTTTTGTCAAAATGTAAGGGATCAAGCGAGCGAGCGAGCGAGCGAGCGAGCGAGCGTGCGTGCGTGCGTGCGTGCGTGCGTGAGTGCGTGCATGCGTACGTGCGCACGTGTGTGTGCATGTGCGTGTGTTGCGAGCCGGGTGTCTGTGCATGCTCACCCGATGTGTCCGTTCCACCTTCTGGACTTCCGCTAGAGTACATAGTTGCCAGTTTGCCGTCAAGGATAAATCTAAACCATCCGTTACTTCCATTCGATAGTTCTAGAGCTGCCGCGTCGGACCAGATGTAAAGACAATCACGTCCTCGACATATGCACCAATCTCTCCAATGATACGCTCTTCCTATTAACAATTCTTTCGCATCTTCCATTCTTTGCTCTTCTCCCACTTGATTCGATTCTGCTTCTGGCTCGGGTGTAGTCTCTTGTGGTCCGGCTAAAGCGGCAACTTTTGAAAATACTCCTAAACGTGCGAAATGTTCTAAGAATTCATCTTTGCCTTTAATCATCAGATCCTGTATCATTTGCAAGACAACCAAATGACCGTCCTCATCTTCCTGTTAATATTAGAACACACAAGTTTTTAAACGGTTTTAAAACATATAAAATGCGAAGAGTTAATAAAGATAAAAATAAAAAATTGTCTTCTGAAACGTAAAACAAGGGCAAACGCTGTGTGTCTTTTACTATTATATACATATAAAAAGAAAAGGAGGCTCTTTCTACTTGGCAAAAAAACCGTAATGGCTGCAGTAGACGGTTATAGCTAAGAACGGTGCATCGTTCTTTCTTATTCATTGGAAAGAAGGTAAATATCTTTAGATCCCAGCAACGGCAAACAGGCAGTAGACGAGAGTAGATGTTGCCAAATTCGTCATCTTTGACAAAACTTTCAAAGTGCTATCTCTCTATCTGCCCTCTCGATCTCAATTCTCGTATCGACTACTTTTATTTCCTTTCTTACGAGATGAAATTTGTTGGAGAGACCAATTACTAAGAGAATAGCGACGCAAGATATCTCCGAGATGATTCTAGTAATTTGACTCGAGCAATATGCAACATCGAATGTAACAAGACATGCGTAAGTTTAATTTTAGTGAGTTAAATTTCACGCTTCAATTACAACGAGTGCATTTTATTATGTTAATATTAAACATCAAGTCTCGAGATAGTTATTAATTGAAAAACTGAAATTGGAAACTTGCGGTACACTAGGAACAGCGTGAGAAACGATCAAGGTAAGTTTTCGCAAGTAGCGGGCGATAGAACGATGCAAAAGACGTTACCGTCGTGTCGAGAATGTAGTTGCGAAAACTCGAAGACTTGCGAGTTGTAAGGCCGGGTAATTTTGGACCGAACGTCTTAAAAGCGTCTGTAGGTGATGATAATGGCGCCTTTATCTCATGTTCCTGTGAACAGTCTCGGCTAAATCACTGATTTATACACACTGTGTGAATCTACTGTCTCTCTCTCTCTCTCTCTCTCTGCCTGCATGCATGTTGGGATCGCCACAATGTTTTGTTTTGTCTTTGAGATCGGACCTTTGACGGCTCGATAAGAGGACATTTCTATTTTCGCGGGAGATGTACATAATGGAGAAATAGACGTGGAAAGGGGTATCCTTTTCCCTTAAGAATACACATAGATCTTTCTCTAGGTGTACTCTTCTCTCGATATAAACTAATGGCCATAACAGTTCTTTATTAAACACGAAATATTGTGTTTAATAGTTGATTAAGGATGCTTACCTCATTGTCCAAAACATTGGCAATTACTTCTACGAGCATAGCTCCACATCCTCCGGTTCTATCAGATCCACAAGTTTCTATGAGCAATTCTGGCTGGATGTAATGCACCATTTTTCGAATCAAACTTAAGCTCGCTTTTCTAACACTTGGTAACATAGTCGACTGAAAAGTTGCACAAAACACCGGCAACAATCTTTTCAGGTAAACAGGCGCCATTTCAGGATCGCCCTTGGGTTCCGTAAATTCTTCCACTTCCGTCTCAAGTTTCCTATGCTCTTGACTCGGTGGCAACATCCATTCTCCAGGCGACTGTAAAATGGCTGCTACCTCTCTGTGTCCTTCGTCGACACGTTCTCTGGCTTTATCCAGAGGCGTTTTACCATCCTCGTCCCGCAAATCAGGATTGGCACCGTGCCTGAGGAGAACCTTGGCGATAGCCGGTCTTCCGAAACAAGCCGCGTAATGTAAGCTGGACGATCGTTGACCTTTGTTTACGTCCGCTCCTCTGTCGCAGAGAAACTCGACCATCTCTTGCGTGCCGAATGCCGAAGCCCAATTGAGTAAGGTTTGTCCGACGTCGTCCATAAAGTTAACTTCGATCCCTCCCGTGTCGATCGCCTCGATCAACGCATCCGTGTCCTTGGAACGTATGCAGTCGATCAATTGCCTGTGGGACTTTTCTCCGGCGCTATCCAAACGTCTCAGTCTTGGTAGCAAGGGGCCAGACGGGCCGCCGCTAGTACTACGTCCCAACGCCGATCTGCCCTCGAACAGTAAGACTAGTAAAAGGTCGATCAGTCTCATGGAGTCAAGAGCGCATCGCTCGTCTCCCTTTAGTGCCTTTTCTATCGCGTCTGGCAATTCCGAGCGTAGGAGATCGTGCGTGATGGACGGTGAGCCTCTGCAAAGGGTCGACAAGAGGCTGATTATGGTCGAGACAGAGGCGCAGGACTTTGGTTCCGGAGTTGGAACTGTGCTCACGGTACTGGATGGCGGGGGTGTCTTTGGGTTGCTGCAAGTTGCCGTGGCGGATGTGCCAGGGCCTGCTGCATTTGATAGTCTGCAAAAGAAATTTATTTTTATTCGAAATTGGAAATTGAAAATTTCCTCAAGGAGAGAGAGAGCATAAACTGTCGATCGAAAGATACCGGTACAAAAGTTCAGAAACTAATCCGTTGGATGCCAGCGGCGCGGGATCCGTTCCCCTTCTGGAAAATCTGTCGGCCAGCGAGGCGAAGCAACGAAGCGCCCCGTCGGCGACATGTGCGTCCTCGTGCCTCAGTAAAACCGATAGAGCCTCTACGCAATCGGGCAGAGCCTTATCTTGAGGTTCAACCTTGCCGCATAATCGAGTAACGACTGCCATCGCCGAGTGCAACGTGTCCCGGTGTACGCGCGCTCCGTGCTCTCGGATGAAACACAAGGCGCAAGGCAGACCACCAGCCTCGAACACGGCACCCGCCTCTCTCGCGCACACAAGTTCCAATACCTGTATACATTATCAAGTGTGTGTGTACACGAGTATTTGTAAAAAGGAGAGGAATTCGATCGCGGTCGATACCTTTATACATTGCTCCGCCAAGTCTCGGCTGACCCTGGAGCCGAGTCCAGCGCCAGAGAGGCGACTGCAGATAGCCTTTACGGCACCCTCCATGGCGACCACTCTGCGCGTACATTCCGCCGAGACGTCCAAGTAGTACGTGATGGCTCGAGCGGTCACTTCGAGCACGCTATCTGGTACCAATTCATCCAGAAAGATTCTGCAGAGAGCCGGGAGGAAGGTCCGCGGAGGACAGCTGAGAACGCAATGCAAAATGTTTGTACGTTGCACACGCTGTACGCTATTAACAATGATTTACCATTCGAAGCAACGATCCACATTGTCGGACATGAGTAACAGCATACACAATTGTTCCAATGCGATTAACTGCATGTCCCTCTCGTCTCCTTGCCCCATACTGAGCCATTCTAGCAAAGTCTCGGGATCAACTTCCGCCATCTGAAAAAGAAAAGGAGATTTATTCCATTCATTCATAATTGGCAGCACAAGCAAACGTTTCCACTTACCTTACAACTTTGAATAGCTAGAAAACCGAACGGATCGATTTTATTTCAATACTCTGAAAGTTTGATAGAAAACAGATGATTAAACTATGCAAATCACATGTACGTATGTATAATTGAAACGACACAAGCTCCGATCCGAGAGAGAGGTTACACTTGCGGGAATTGACTCGTCATTCGTTATGGCTTATGGCGAGTCATTACAAGTAAGCTAACTAAGAGGGTACCTAACCGTGCGTAACCTTCGATACGTGGCTTACGAGTGTGCATAAATGCGGACAAAGAGATGGTATATTTCGGCAGACTTGTTATATTCACGCATCAGGCGCAGCGATCGTCGACGCATACACGTAAACGCCTATCGTTGGAACGTACCGTTGTACAAGGCATTCCATTCTTCGTGATAGGTCAACTCGGCATCCTCTTGCACAAGTGTCGTCCACCGACACGGAAAATCATACAGATCGTCTATCTCATCCGTTAACAACGCGCGAGCTGCGTTGGCTGTTAACGGATCGACTTAACAAAGCACTCGCACCGCAAATAATTTCTCCTTTTTATATCGTCGATACGTCACGTACATACACTCCTCGCCATTTACATATGTGACGTTCATGCTCGATGTAGACTGGAATCACGCAACTCGCAACACAGTCGCAACAGTCGCCACCCGCCACCCGCCACTCGCCACTCGCCACTCGCCACGCTTAATGAGCAGTAAGCCGAACTTGCATGTAAAAGAGATATGGACGCGAATTTATACGTCGCGAGAGAGAATACGTCGTCTCCGTCTCCGTCTCCGCGCGATCTGCTTCATAATATACTTGTTCAATATACCGTCGCGACTCTACGGAAATTTTCGTCAACGTCGTGTTCCTCGGGAGGTAATTAATCTCGATGTTATCGACTGTCGGTCGACATCCATCGATCCATCTACTAGTTCATCTCTCTCAAACTTTTTCATTTCATTTTACTGGTTATTACAATACAATTTATACTCATCATTACAATACAAGTGCTTTGTATTTGAAATGTTACATGTAATATTGAAGAAAAACATATCAATGGACAGAAAGGTCGTTGTTCGACTTTTACTGTCTACACTACGTGTCAAAATTCTTATATCGAGATAAGTCTGTCTGGCTTACGAAAATGTATAATACCTGGCGAAAAAAGTGAGAGATGACGTTTACATTTATTTATCAAGAGTTGCAAACACCTGGTTAATCTTTTAGTGACAATAACATATTTTACAAACCCTTGGAAAACTGCAGTGGAAACGTTTCACAACTTGTAACCGTCAACATGTCATAAACAACTCCATGTTATATCTCACAAACAATTCAATATGTGTTTTAAAACTCAAATGAAACGTTTAAACAGACTTGTTATAAACTTTTATAATAAACACATTATTTTCGCCAGGGATATTATACTGTATGCATGTCACATTAACAACTAACAACAAAAGACAAGTATAGTTTTAAATTAAAAGAAAATTTTTGTCATCGAAAAAGTCTAAACATCCTCAAAGAAAGATATCCGCTTGTTAAGATTTTTGTATCGATCGTTTATATTATTGCGAGAGAAGAAATCAAAAGAAGCATCAGTCAAAAACAGAAAAAATGGAAGAAAACAAAATAATAATTGAGAAACATAGCAATATGTGTGAAATTTATAAAAATAAAAAATCTGCAACTCTTAAATAAAACTCGAGAATTTTGTTCTTGGAGTTTGCTTCATCAGTTTGATGCATGCGTACGATACTATGATGAGAAAAAATATAGGTATTTGTAAGAAAAAGAGTTGAAGAAAATCTGCAAACTCTCAAAGATTATCTCTCAAGTTAGAATGCAGTTTCTTCATCTCGCTACATACATATGTATAGAAACGCATACTTGCATATTGTATATTAATTGTCTAATTTTACATAATTGCAAAAACAATTTTTGCATTTAATATCGATTAATTTATTATTGTTGAAGAAAATTAATGCAAATATAGTTTGCATTGGGAAGAAATACTTGTGGTGTCCGATAATTATTTAATTAGATCGTGTAAACCGCCACTTTGTATTACTAAATAAAGAGAAATAATTATATGCAATTTAATCTAAATCACAGCGTTCTTCGTCATTTTTCGTCTATTCAGTCATTGATAAAGATTGAGTCAGTGCTGATTCTACACGGAAAGAATATTCTCTTACAATTAGAAATTATCCTGAAAATAAGTTAGTTATTTTCTCATTAATATCTACTATAATGAAATAGTAAAATTTAAAAAAACTCTCATAAATTTTCAAGATAAATTCTCTCCTTTTGTATGTACACGTCAGCAACAACTAACCTTGCATTTGCAATATTAATTTTAATACCTTTGGTCCACTTTATCAATATAATTTAACATGAGTAATGCGAAATTTCTTTGTTTTTCCATACATGTGCGTACCTACGATATAGATTTATGTTTTCATTTAAACATTGCATCATCCTTTCCTTTTGCTCTTCTTTTCTTTAAATTATACATGGAGCCGATGGAGCGTGCTGTGAGCAATAACGCTTCGTCGAAGCATCTTTACATTCGATACTTTTGACTAGAATAATTTTTCCCGTTTTTCAATCGAAGCGCTTTCGTATAGGCATTTTTATTTCTATTTAATGCTCCGATCGAGCGATATGCAGAAAGAAGGATAGTTTATCGATGCATTCCTGGCCGCATATGTTACATGTGTAAGGATCATTAAAGTTGTGACAACCCATATGCATGGCATACATGATTACATTGCCGAATATAATTTCGCAGTAGTGGCAGATGAGGTCGGCATCGAATAAATCGGCAACCTTAATGTCCTCGACCCTCGGATTTACCTGGCGGAAACCGTCCGAGTCAAAGGACATACCTTCGTTTTGCTCACGTTCCAGCTTGATCGCTTTACCTTTACGTTTACTAGTGCCGGTGACTTTCGGCGAATTCGCGCCAATTCGCGCTAATGCCCGAAACTGAAGCTGATTCTCTTGGATCACCTCAGCGATGCGGAGATCCAACGGTGCGTCTGTTGTAGACTCGGTAATTCTCCTCTTCTGGTACTCCAACTCGGTAGTTTTGCTATCGGACAAGTGATGTTTGCTCACCTCGTTACATTCTGCCTGCAACGCATTTCGGACAAGCATCTCCGTCAACGTACCGGATTGCTCCATTCTCCGCATATTTTCCGCCACGTCTTCGCCAAGCGAAACGTGACTCGACAGATTGAAAGCAGCAACCAAATCGCTGTAAGGGAATTGGCTCTTATTTGTGCTACTTTCATTTATCCAATCGTTGGTCGTGGCGACAGTTAAGTAACGAGCAACCGGCGAATCAAGTGACAAGGAGTCGCCGATCTGATCGTTCGTGGTGATGGTCACAGTGCTGTTTCGTTCCTCTTTAGCAGGCCTGCGCCCGCGTTTCGTACCGTAGACATCGATGATGGACAGCGGATTCGGCGAGCCGTCAGCGTTCAATACCATCGCCGGCTGATGCTCCTTCTTTCGCAGATGCTTCTTTAGCGTGTTGCAGAACTTGCTCTTGTATGTACAGTCCGCGCATCTGTACGGATAGATGTTGGAGTGCTTCTTCAGGTGGCTAGTCAGCATTGATTTGCTCACGCACGTATACAAACACTTTTTGCATTTGAACGGCTTGGAGCCGTCGTGAACGCTAAGCCAGTGATGGTTCATATGATGCTTGTACTTGGTAACGAAGGAGCACTCGGAGCATGTAAAGCCTTTTATGTGGCAACGCATATGCTCCCAATATTCCATCTTCGTGCCGGCTACGAAATTGCATTGCTTGCACCTTTTAGCCTCTCGGAAGCCTCTGTCTCGCCTGCTTTGCAGATTCGCGCGGCAAGTCTCTTCTGCTTTGGGCTCCATTACTGCGAAAGATGAACAACCGTCTGCATTTAAGGGGGCTTTAACATTCGAATCGCTGCGTTGCTTCGGCGTGCAATGGCTAACTAGATGCTCGGTGAATTCTGACCTAGAAATTTACCAATTTATCGACCAATGTTTTGCCGTTGCCTATGCACTAAACGTCAAATTTCAGATCACCATTTGTCACACATGCATTTATACAAATGTATATATTTGAGCCCAAAATGCCTGTGTGCGGTGCTCGTCATTACAACATTTATTGTGTAGCGATTAATTTACCTGCTTGACGTTGCGAATATACATGACGGACACTGCAGAATGTCTCGCACAAGATTGATACGCTCGCCGAGTAACGGAATATTGGACATGGTGCTCAACAATCGATTAGCTTGATATTTATCCATTCGTATATTTGCCTACAATCTGTCGTAAACAAATTATTATTCACTTCTCGACGAGTTGTTGGTGCAATGATTGGTGGAAAGGAAACATTGAAACATCAAAACAAAGGAAGAGTCGACATCGAACAATTTCGTATGTCTAGCAAGTAATTTGACTAATCAAACGATAAGTGTATCTGATACCAGTTAATCATCTTTCCTCTTATCCGACTAATGTGTGCAAACACGTTGAGAGTATATTTGTATAAGACGACAAATATGACATTTCAAAATATCTTTTTGCACATATGTGAAAATATTATATGTGTCTTTGAGAATACATTTTGTTTAAATTGTGCAAAGAGAGAAAGTCTCAATAATCACATATATATTGTAATTATATGTATAAGATATAGATCCAGAAGAAATTATTATGTTATATGTGTATACACATTTATCCTTTAAATAAAATTTAAAATAAAAATTCTTATCTATTACACACAGTTTTCATCGTTCCATACTTGATGCAATTGTCAATTATATAAGTATGGTGCAATTATAAATATAGTAAATAATTGGAAAGGTGGCGTGCGCTAATTACTCACCGTGATACTCCATTATTTTCATAGCAATTCAAAGCAATCATGGTTTCTCGATAGCAGAGATTTTATTATTTCTTGACCATAGCCCATTCTTGTTATTGATTCCATGCGTATATTAAAGGACCCGTACAATCTTCTTTTTATCTTGTTAGACTCTTTTGAAACGTTAACAGAAATTAAGAACTTGAAGCAGTCAAAAACTTTCATGCTTCAGACTAATTTCTAGACTAATAAATATTTTTAATCGTGTTAGATACAAATTTTGAATTAAAAGTAAGCATATTAATCGGGATTAATGTAGTAACATTAAATAATTTTATGGTTATGAATGAATAACAAAAAGAAATAAAAGCTAAGAAATTAAAAATAATAAAAAGGAAGGAACATGTATGTATGTATATCGTGTGCAGCAAGCTTTTAATAACCTCTGTTGTGAAATCAAGTATTTATAATTGGTGAAAATTAACAAACACTTTTCTTGAAATCTCTATTTAATATCTACATGAATAGAAGATGTTAAATTTTCAACATTTATCTGCTCAAGTTACAAATTTCTCGTACGACCAGTATTATCTCCTAGTAAAGGTCGAACTGAGACGTACCCAGTCAGAAATTACTTGTCGATCGACTTGTCGAAACGATGTTTTGTATCAACATCGAAACTGTCATATTGACGTCGATTCGTTACAACTTCGTTCAAGTCATTTCTCCCTGGGTAGTGTTTCAAAATTCTAAGCGAGACACACAGCAAATGGACTATATTTAGTTTTAATTATTTAAAGAAAATTGAAGTATTGAGATAAATTGCTAAATAACATAAAATAAAAAATGTTAAGGAATGCGTAATACAGATATTTAATAGGCATGGGATGCTTCGATCTTAAAATCATTTCACTCGTCGTTTACGTAAAGATTATCAATAACAGAATCTCGGAAATATCATTAATTATTTACGTTTAGTTTTACCAAGAATTTCTTTGCCAATAATTGATAGGTATGATAAATGGTTGAAAATAATTTCAAAACAGAGATGAAATGTAACATGTGCATGTACGTATAATTATACATATAGACGAAAGTCTTTGATTATGAGACAGGTTTCTAATATGAGATAGCAGCTTTTCAGCACCCAAATTATTAACAATGAATTTTCCACTAAACAGATTTCGCTCTAAAGGCAATAAATTCATGGTGGAATCAACTGAGGCTGCCTATTAATTTAACAGAAACTCTGCTAGCCCATATTAGGATCATATCTCATAATAGGGGACTTTTTTTCTATAGAATTTATAATAAGTTTGCGATTTAGTTGAATTTGATTTTTCATTTCTTATCGAAACGGCGTACGTCACGCACATACGCGCGCGCGCGCATCCTTATTACGAATGTATTCAATTATGCAATGTGCAACATGTACTTTTTGTTTATCTATTTATAAAATTCATTTACGCAATTTAACATTACATTATTAATTCATTTATTTATTTATATAAATTTATTAAGTAACATAAAAATCTATAAATTGATCTACATATATGCAAAACTGTGATTAGTGTATTAAATGAAATATATATAATAAGACGGTAAAAATTAATTGGTGAAAAAGATGAGTAAGTAAGTAATTGATCTCTCCATATAATTTTTATATCGCTTGATACGAGAGATAAAGAAACTTATAATAATGTAAAAATGAAGTGAGAGATAAAAAGAGAGCAAGACAGAAAGAGGGGGGGGGGAACGAGAAATTTCAATAGTTTTTACTCACTAGTTTACATGACTCAATTAACAGTAGCGTTTTGTTCAAATCAAAACAATAATTTTCTGCTGTTATAATTGACGAACGATATATTTTGTAAAAAAAGAATTGTCATTAATTGTAAAGTAATTGCAAATTTCAGTCACTCTCTGTCTCTCTCTCTCTCTCTCTCTCTCTCTCTCTCTCTTTGTAAATTATACCTTTAAAATTTATATTATATTACTTTTTGGGAATCTTGATAGAGTAGAAAAGAATTGATTATCAAATTGAAATTAACAAGACAAGTTTAAGTTTTCTCCTTCAGGTATTATTATATCTTTTGGATATTAAGAGTTTACTGTAAATTGACTTTGCAACATATTCAATAAGCAGTTTCAATGTTCGTGAATCAAAACAGTGTATCTCGAAGAAAGTAGAGAAATTCAAAACCTCACTCAAGTTATAAACATAGCTTCGAAAACAAAATTCCTCGCTCTTGTTCTTATAGACAGTTATTTCAAATTGACCAAGAATATTGTTTCCTACTCTCTCGTATCAAACTTCCTTTTCGCATGGTTAGTTGTACAATAATATTTGATAAAATTTAAAATTAATTTAGTAAGCTGATAAATCGTGGCGTGTACGTTTGGAACAAGAATCCGCTTAAATACAATTAGAGATATAATCAAATATCATCCATATAAGAAAGAAATTCTACTTTATGGATCAGTAATAAAAAATAATTATCCGATCAAACCTGATTAGTCATCCTTCGGCTCCGGTTAGAAATTCTCTTTGATACGAGAGATATTTACAAGCGTAGAACACCTACAAATATATTCAAAGAACCACCAAGCATTTAATTGAAGCCACAATATGTTATCACGCGTTGTATCCTTATATATGCACTATGATAAGAATTTACAAGTATTGAATATTTAAAGGAACGACAAGTGAGCTTCAACTAACAACGACAGACTACGTCTCACAATGAAATGAAGCCGTTTATTCATGGGTTTTGTCGATGGGGAAGGGGGGAGGGCAATGTCATCTTCCCTCTCTCGCCCGTCTATCCAATCACGATCCGTCTATCCTATCCTTCGGATTAATAGACGATTCGGCAAACGCTGTTCTTCTTTTCCCACCTCTTTCACTTTCTCAATTCTCCCCCCCTCTCTCTCTCTCTCTCTCACTATGATGACTGCTGAACATATCTTTTGCCCAAAAGTTGCCTACTGTTGCTCCATCTGCTGCGCAAATGAATCCGTTATTTTGATCGCCAATTTTGGTAATCATTTTTATAAATACAAATCCTCTAATTAACTATGAGCCAATTCTTTTAAGGGTTTATATATAATAACAAATAAATACATTTCCTATACAATTGCTTGTCTATTTTCCATGATGTCGATGTGTCATGATGAGTCTTCATGTTTTGTGTTATCAAACAAAGAATGATACAATAAAAAATAATATAGAAATTAATGTTGGCGAAACTTATAGTTATTACATATAGAACACGGCAATAAATAATATGGTGAAACCTTTCCGGGCAGAGTATTAAATTTCAATTTATATTTTTATATTAAAACAATGCCCTTTTACATTTCTCTTTCATAAATCTTACAATTATTATTAATATTAACTTCTATTTTACGTTTAAATGTAATAATTTTAGATAATATAATATAATAGTTTAACATAATATCTCTTTCTCCCGTTTCTTGAGATTATTTGACAAAAACTGATATAGAAAGCGCTCACTATCTATTTTAATGCCTATTGAAATTGCATTAAAATAATCTTGTTTATAACCGTCCCGTAGATTTTACAAGTTTCTCTTTTTATTTTATTGAAGAAAAGAAAACATTTTTCTAAGTAATTATGTAGTCTATGTAATAATGTCAATAAGTATTAGTTAACTATTCAATTGGTAGTAATTTTTTTATCTATTACAGTCGGTTTCACTCGCGCGGTTCTCGCTGCGCTTATACTTGGCGCGAGACACTGCCGTGTCTCCCCATACAGCACCAAAGCTTCCAGAAACATTTCAGAAACATTGCAACATTGCAAATTCCAATGTAATATTGCACAGACGGTTCAGAGACGTTTAATTGTAAGTATATAGGAAATATTATACAATATATATAACAAATATATTATACATATGTAGGAAATATTTATATAAATAACGCATAATGAAATCAATATTACAAATACGTTGCACAGTGCCATTACTGCAATGTTACATTGTAATACGTCTGATGAAGGACATTTCAATGTTGCTTTAAGCTTGCAACAACGTTGCTGAAACATTTCACAACCTCCATGTAATGTTATAGCGTTGCAGTGAAATGTGTATGCAATGTTTCTGCAATCTTTCGGTGCTGTATGGGTCTTGATATTTATATAAATTTTTATTGAATATTTTATATGTATACATACATAAATAAAATAAAACAAGGTTAATTCTACAGATCGTAAATTTTAAGTACACCGATATATATATATATATATATATATATATATATATATAAAATTAATACAATGTAACATATTCTTGTCTTCTTTTTTTAATTAAAGATAAAAATATTTTTCTGAATCTTGAAACTTTGTGTAGGTGTGCAAAAAGGGTTGAACACGCAGCTGTTTAAACACTATTACTCTATTTAGGTTTCAGGTAAGAGAATATGGAATATAGTTTCCAAATACAATGCTCGCTTAACATAATTGTTTACTTTTATTTTATCGCGGACGAGTAACAATAAGAAAGCAATAATAGCAGTTATTTAAATAGTATTTCTCTACTTTTTTTCTACTTATATGTATTATGAATCTTTCTTTTTTAAGAAATATGATAATATAATATGTATATATTTATAAATTGTTTTATTTGATAAAACTATAACATTTATAACGGTATACATATATGTAATTGTTATGTATTACATTGGGAGGAAATAAATATGAAGTCAGAGCTCACGTTTCAACTTATTAATTGCAAATTTTACTCGAATCTATTGAACTTGAAATGATTCTCGACGATAGACCAATGTTATTGTTAGGATCATTGTCGGCTGGCCTTTTGTCACGCGGTGAAACGCAGGCTGCAACGCGCAAATGGCGTGCCTTTCTAAGGACAAACAACACAGCTGACCTACGCTCGTAGCTTTGACCTATTCTTATAGTTCATCTGCCGAAACTACTACTTTAGTAGCCAAACGTATCATATGTTTTCATATGACTTTTCAACGTATGAATCTATTTCACCGATTGTTTTTCGATTAAAAATTGAACTTATAGATATATATTAAAGATGACTTTAATTAAACTCTGATTAATTTAATTTAATTTAATTGATATAGATGGAATTATTAATCTAGATTTGCTCATCCTTATATTGAAACATTCGTGTTTCAATTTTCAATTTTGCATTGACAATATAATTTGTCTTTCTAAAACATGACCTAGTTAAAAAATAATCTTTAATTTCTTTCAACTGTATGTATTTTTCATACATGTACATTTATTATTTTTTTATGTATAATACATAAAGATAATACAAAATTTCTAAAATCAAATATTTTTTATCAGGAAAAATTTCACGTATATCCGGGTTAATTATTCCCGTTTTTTGATATATGGAAAAAATTAAATACGAAATTACGAATTATATATTTTGGGAAATTTAACTGTAAACTATTGTTATGATAGTAATGTGTTGTAATAGAGATGATTTCCGAATAAGCAGAGTTTTATCAAAGCTACTTGTAGAAAATTATACGACACCTGACATTTTAATTTTGAGAGCGGGGGGAGGGAGGGAGAGAGCGAAAGGAATTTAAATAATGTTATATTAGATTTTGTAATAATTTTACAAGTTAGAACACATGATACAAATCTAAAGTAATGTAATATGAAGTACGGTAAGACAAAAAATAGTATAAAGTAAGAAAAATAAGTTAAGCAGATGATGTTATGTATTGGGTATTAGGATTTTAGATGTAAGTTTAGGAATCTGCCAAAAACGGAATGGAAGAGGATGAGTGTATATTAAATTTTTGATTTGTAAACCAAGCTCTACTTCTTAGCTGTAAAATAAAGTGAATAAAAGTATTATCTTTTTGTCACAAGTTATATAATACAAGCGATATGTATAATAAATATTTGCAATTTATTTTATCAGAAATTTGAATAGAAAGTTTATATGTAACAATTGGATTCTCATTGTTATTTTATTAATAAATATATAAATTATCAAATTAATAACTTGAAAACAATAAAATTTACTAAATTTTTCATTTAAATTTATGTCATTAAAATTAAAACTTAAAATTTATTTCAATAATTTGTGACATGCAAACTTTTATTCTACATAAAACGAAATTGTAGAAAATTTTTTAATGTTTAAAATTTTTCGCAATAAATTTAAAAATTAAAATCATTTATGATACTAACATCCTATCTCGACTTATATCCTTCATTACTTCATATTCGTGATTTCACGTCAGAGCCGTATAAATTTTATTTGTTTAATTACGCTGGATGAAAAAAGTGTTTCTTCATTTTTATTAGTTATATAGGAGGAGGGAAGGCAATGAGGTGTATTCTTATTTGTTTCGTGTTATAAGACTGACAATTCTGTTGGCGCGCAGTTCTATTTCAAATTTAGTTATGTTATGCGATTTTCGTGAAATAACTTTAGACTTAGACTTAGAGATAAATATTACCACATGCCTCGGTGGTTGGAGTTGGTGAGATGCCTGTTAATGAGAGGAAGGTCCAGGTTCAAACTCTGGCTGAGGTAAATGTTTCGCAATAAATAAAAAATTAAAATTATTTAGACACTAACATCCTGTCTTGGCTCTTATATCCTTTATTATTTTATATTCGCGTTTAAAATGTCTTTTTAAAAAGTTTACAAACGTAATCTCAAGATTACATTTAATTACAATTAATTGTAGTGACAAGATTGGGCAGTTGCCAATGGCTAGAGAGAGTTAATTGATTAAGTTTTCTTTTTCTATGTTCATCGCTTTTTATTTCTTTTTCTTGCCGATCTTCATTTAACATTTTAACTAGGAGCTTACGTAGAACAAGAGGAATTTGAATATTTAGTGGTTGAATTTATCCTAATCGTTGTCTGGCTATACTTAATTTCACGAGTTCCGGATATTTTTGACTACATATAATGCTTTTCTCAATTCTCGAACGTTATATATTTTAGTTTGCCCTACTGTACTTACTTCTTTCATACTTACCATAGAAATGGACAAAAAAGGATCTTTCTTCTTCCTAATCTCAAGTTGTATGTACACATTTTTCATGCACGCAACTGGTACGCATCTATTTTACATATAGTATACTATAAATAAGATATAAAATTTAATTACATAGCATTGTCATTAATATTACCAGGATTTTCAACTTATGGAGTTTATCGTATAAAAATTCTTAGACTAAATAATTTTTTTGTACAACAAATTATGTACCTTTTTTAATAATATACATTTGCTCATTTCAAAAATATATTATTATATGTATAATATTTGTAACTACTATTTTACAACGTTTTTGTATAAGACTTAATTTTTAACAGTTTCTTCAAATATTATTTAATTGCAACGTTAAAAATCAATTTCGATAAGGCATATAGTTTAGCTGTAATAACTGTTGGAGAGTATCGTTATGGTATAAGGGTACGTGTGCTTATTCCCGCAGCAGAGCTCGCACGAATTCTACATTTTGTTGTGCTATGTGAGATCGATTATGAGGGGTCCAAGTACAGTCGTAACTTGATAAATAAGCAGCAGAGGGTCACACCGTCGTAAGAAGGGTCAGTCGACCGAACAATACCGTATACGCGACCTTTTCACTCCGAGGTTAATATGTGGGCGTTTAAACATCGACAGCCGGACAATACGAAATTTACAGTACGATTTAGAAGACTATTCATACGCTATCGTTGTCCTTCCCAATTTCAATA